CACCGTCCAAATTCGGCATAATGATGTCCATTAAGATTAAGTCGTATTTTGAGCCACCCTGGATTTTGTTCACAGCCTCCAATCCATCAAACTATTGGAAATATTAGCAAGCTTGTGCTGGTCAATGGGACAAGACCGATAACATACCGCGGTATCAATAACACACGAGAAAGAGTATAGGAATTTGCCGCCAATCTGCCGACAAGTGGCATCGTCCTCCACCAAAAGGATCTGGGGGCTGCGCACCCAGCCAGGGTCCACGTTGGTGCTTTTTTTCCGATTGTCAGGGAACTGCCGACGAGCATCCGATGTATCCATCTCCTGCTTAGCGGGCATTGGGTACGGAACATTGTTGATATGCTCGCTGTACATGGGATCGATGCCGTTGGTGGCGCCCACGGGATACACCACTTGTTCCAAATCGCCGGCCATCTTGGGGTAAACAAGCGCTGGATTTGGGGGTGCCGTTGTCGCGGGACGGAGCGAACCATTTCGCACATTCGGATCCATGGTGGGAGTTGATACAACGGCCTTTTGCGGATCGTTCATCGAATCGACGCCGTTCATATTGAATTGTAGTTCGGCGTTCATATCATTCAGGAGCTTCGAGGCTTGCTGGAGGGGTGATGAAGGTTCGTCGTCCACTGTACCAACCTGGGAAGGGCTCATTGTGGTTCCAGGCGCTTGGAATGTCACCGCCTTGCTATCTCGACGCTGGCGCGCATCGACCGAAAGCAAGTAGGTCATCACCTGGTGAATGACATTCTCGTGGTTTAACACCGTCTTCTGCACCCGCATCACTTCCTGTAGCATGAGTTGATGATCCACTGTGAGCTGGGCATATCGGTCTGATAGATGTTGGATCTGCTGCTGTTGCGCCACAATCTGCTGGTTAAGAAGATCAATTTGTTGCGTGGGTACGGAATCGTCGCTGGGCTGGGTTTGTTTTCGTGGGGCGGGTGCCTTTCGCCGAATGTTGTCGAGTGATTCTTTACTATTTGCGCGGAACTCGGGGTGTTTGAATTCCCATGCCTACATGATTTGTGTGAGACCCTCGGTCCAACTGATCTCCGAATGGGGGGAGGTGCGTACATTCTGCCCGTATGGCGACTGGCCATTTTCTTCGTTGTTTTGTCGAACCTTGTGGAAATCATATTTGTTCAGTTGGCGTACAAAACTGGCAAAGTTGCTGTGTTTAAAGTGCTTCGGTAGGATGGTCTTGGTGAATTTCTCGCACTGTCGGGATTTTTGAATTAGCCAAGCACAAAGAGACCGAATCTGTTCGGCCACACAAATCCACGGGCGCATTACCTCCAATACTACAAAGGAATCCCCCTCATCACCCCAGCGTACGATAGACGCATAGGTTGGGTCCTCCAGCATTCTGCAAGAAATATCAGATAAAAGACCAATAAGGGTATCAGGAGAACTTTGAAGAGCAAGACTCACTTATACAGTTTGCGTACCTATTCATAATGTTAGTAAAGATATCGAAACAACATAGGATTTCACTAACAAAATCGCTGGAGTTCCCAGCGGGGGCGGGATTGGAAGAGGTCTGGCCACCGTCCATGCTGGGCTAGACGGGTCGCGACCGGTCGAACAAGTCTGGTCTCGTCCCAACGCGGATAAAACTTGATTGTAAATATAACGGGATGATCGATCACAGAAAAGAAAAGAATACAAGGGGAGAAAGCCAGACCTTTTTTTTCGGAGGGTGGGAAGAGAGAGAAAAAAATTGAAATAATGGGGGTACGGTCAGTTACTGGGGTTTAGCGGTAGAGCCAAGTACCAAAGTTACTGTGGAGGTACTGCCTGGTATGGACTTCAAGGACTTCATTTTACTATATCTTTATTTTATTTTATTTTGAAACCTATATAAATAACTATATTTTGGGGATTGATTTTACTGACATTTCTTAATGCAAGGAGGTCGATCGTGAATATCCTAGGAATCAGGGACCAACGAGGGGCAAAATTCCAGTATGTCACACTGGACCTAGGTATTGTATACATATTCTTAGAACTTGAAAAAAAAAACTTCCTAATACTCAGATCTAATTCGTTATTAGAACAGATGCATATGGAGGGGATCGTGTCAGTGCGCACGAGATGGGGCATTCCCCCCAATGACCTGATGAAAATGGTGAGACATTGAATTAGCGTAGACACCTGGAGAGATATCAAAGAGTCTTTTATGACAGGGGGGTAAGTAGTGCTCCACCAACGCTTTTTTAATATGTTTTATATGGATAACATTTAGTGATCAGCCCTGCCATTCTCCGCGTGTCTGTGGTCGAACATGTTTGATTCATGAACCTATTAATGAGAACCACTTATCCACTTTAACCGAGAGCGGATATCAAGATAGAAGATATTATATATGGCGTCAAGATATCTTAGGATCCTAAAATTCGCTGAAAACTCAAGTCTCTATGGAAATACCTACACTTTGCAACGTGGTTCACCAGTAGAAGCCACCGAAACTAATCCAGATGGTGATTCAAAAGCTCCCAACATTCCACCGTAGCACATTTTCGTCATAAAAGCACACAATCACCTATATCACATGAGCTCCACAAGTCAAGTCCATTGTTCAAACGGTTATATTGGCGCCGAACTTCATGTTGAACTAGAAAATGACTGCATCCTTCAGCAGGGGGTTGATGATCCACCGTGTGACGGAGCAAGGATCCACTGCGTCATGGAGGAATAGGATGTGACTTCATATCATCCGATTCGAAGGCAGCTGGTCCGCCCTATTCTTAAAAAGAGAGCACCTATCATAGGGTGACAGCTCATATAGGTTGCTTCGCGGTACCTGTGGTATAGCCTCCGCAAGTCGCACTGAAGATACTCACAGGTCAAGAGTTTCTTGCCAATTAACATGCATCCATGAAATTAAACACATTAAACATATAAACATATAAAAGCAAAAGGCATCAATATCAGACGAAAAGTAAATAGTGAGAGGTGTAAACAGAGTTCCTAAAAATAATGCACGGCCGTGACGAAATCGCCCAAGCTCCCCCGACATACCGCCCTTGCGCTCCCCGTTATTTCAACACTTCTTATTTTCCTTTGCAATTAATCAACCCCATCATCCAATTAACACCATGTTCGCCCGCCGTATCGCAACCAACATCCCCCGCGTTCGCGCGCAAGCGTCCCTCTTCCACAGCACTGCGCCCGCGTTCGTGCAAAAGGGCGACGCTATCCCCAACCTGGACGTCCTGGTCGAGAACTCCCCCGGTAACAAGGTCAACTTGGCCAAGGAGATCAAGAACAAGGCTGTCATCATTGGCACTCCGGCTGCCTTCAGTACGTGAACCCTTTGCGAACAAAAACTGTTCGGGGCTGACATTCTTCAAGGCCCTGCGTGCTCAAGCACCCATGTTCCTGGCTTCATCAACCACCCCAAGCTCAAGGAGGCTGGTCAGGCTTTCGTCATCTCTGTCAATGACCCCTTCGTGTAAGCTATAATGTCGAATTGCAGAGCGAAAGCTTTGTGGGAACGTTTGTTGACAAAGCTATCATATAGGACCAAGGCTTGGGCTGATTCCCTTGATCCCTCCGGCAAGAGCGGCGTAAGTTTTTTTGCTCTTGTATTTTGGTTGTGGCGACAGAGCTGATATTTTATTTTGGACAGATTCGCTTCCTCGGTGACCCCTCCGGAAAGTTCACCGAGGCGCTCGACCTCAGCTTCGATAGCGCTGCTATCTTCGGCAACAACCGCAGCAAGCGCTACGTTCTGCTTGTCGAAGATGGAAAGGTCAAGGAAGCTTTCGTTGAGCCTGACAACACCGGTCTTAACGGTATGTCTCTTTTCTGTCGAGTATATCATTCTACGCTAACATCACTTGAAAGTTTCCGCTGCCGAGAAGGTGCTCGGTTAAAGTCATCTCTAGATAGATCTCTAATATCCTTGCAAATACTAGAAAAATATATCATAGGCCCAAGGCACAAAGTTTATTTCTGGTCCCTGCTGCACGGTATTTCGTAGCGCAGGATTTTAATGTACAAATATTCCATCCTTTCCAACCCGGCCAACGCCTGATAAATCGATGCCAGAATTAAATGGGCAAGCATATAGTTGAATCAATCGAGCAATTAGAAATCAATGGCCGATCCTTCGTTCCTAAACCAAGTCTGAACCTCAACCTTTGGTCTTGTGCAATTTCTTCCAAATATTCCTCTAGGAAGAGGCCATGACTCATAACATCTCTGCGTCTTGGAGATATCATTTACTGTTGCAGCGCCTGCCACTGCTCGGGGGTATAGCACTTGGGTGTCCAAGCATGAATAGCAGCGATCTCGGCCTTGAGTGCGGAGTTGACGAGCCGGTGTCGCGCAAGCATAGTCTTGCTCTCGAATTGAGGGGAAACAATCACAGCCTGGAATGCCTGGCCACAGCCGCCTATATTAACACCGAAAAAAAAAATAGAACGTCAGCGATAGATCAACGGGGGAAAAAAGAGAATGTTTCGACGTCATAGTGCCGTTCCCATTCCCATTTTCAATTTAAATTTCCATACCCGATAGATCCTCAACCTCCACATGCTGCGCCTGCAGCACTTCAGTCAACTTGTTCTTCAGCGAGTCTGCGGTGATTCCAGATGTGTCGGCCATAGCGGCGTTGATGGCGGCGTGGGAGCGTGCGGTGAGGGAAAACGAGGCCCGCTGGATGTTATTGTGAGGGCGGAGGAGATAGCGGCAGCTTCTGCTCAGGACGGTCAAGGAGGAGGTGCGGGAGAACATCAAGTATGGTCTGAACGGAGAGGGGGAGAAGACGAGAAAAGATAAAGTGCCAAACCCGAGGTTATCGCGAAGTATGGGAGTTTGCCTTTATTACAAATTCAGAGCTTCCGGTCGGCTGTGGCTGGTGAGTGCACGTGTGTGTGTGGCTCATTATCATTTTCCATTCCGTTGCTCTTCTGTCTTCAACGCGTTGACATCTCTCTATGAATTTTCTTCGCATTGCTACACGTCGATACTCTGCCATGCCTGTGTCAATGAAATCTTCGGAATGCTCGCCATTCACCAATTGCGTGGTGAGCGCTATGAGAAAGCTGTAATTCATCCCCCACTCGATCCCAGAGCTCCCCGCATTGTATGGAGCTTCATTTAACCTCTTATATGCAGATACCCGGAGGCGCTGGCAGACAAGAGCTTCGATAATACAGGATGTAAGCTCTTTTTCTTCTCGAAATATCCTTTGATTGGCTTTCGCAATGTGCTGACCTCGCTCAATTGTAGTGCTCCTCGAAGCTCCTTTCGACAACTCCCGGATACAGAATAACTCGGTCCTCCTGGCTATTGACCTCACTACCGCCGTTGCCGATGAAGCTATTGAGAAGCGCCATTCGGTTGTCGTCGCATACCGTAAGTCGCATCCCAAGGAACTAGCATACATGCGATTAGACGCCTCGTGGAACTCAAAAACGAATATCTACAATCGTTCCCCCAAGACCTAACACAATACCATCCATACAGACCCAATCATCTTCCGCGGCCTGAAATCACTTACCTTTGCCGACTCCCAACAACGATCCCTACTCCGCCTAGCACAGCATGGAATCAGCGTCTACTCCCCGCACACAGCAGTCGACACCGTCCCCGGCGGCATGGCCGACTGGCTCTGCGACGTAGTGACAGGAAACTTCAACCCCGTCAAACAAACCCCGAAAGCCACCATCGAATCCTGCAACTCAAGCATGTACTCCGCCCCAACCTACCCGGAATCACCAATCCCCGCTGTGCAAACCCCCTCGCAAGGACCACCGCACACCAGGTCCACAATCCACCCGTCTCCGCCAGCCTCAATCCCAGAAGGTTTCGAGTCAGCCGGTGCAGGCCGTCTAGTGACCTTCGCCGAGAAACAGCCACTCACTACCCTGATCGACAATATCGCTTGCGGTATCGGCCTGCCCGGCGGTATCCCCATCGCCATTCCCCAAGGCCACTCTGTTGACGCTATCTCCATCCGTACGGTGGGTATGTGTCCCGGCTCGGGCTCTGGTGTGCTGCTCAAAGGTGACGGCGAGCTCCCTGATCTCCTCCTGACCGGTGAAATGAGCCACCACGAGGCTTTGGCTGCCACGGAGCGCGGATCTGTTGTTATTTCGCTTTCGCACACTAACTCCGAGCGTGGGTATCTGCGTTCAGTGATGCAGCCTAAGTTGCAGGCTGAGGTTACGGAGCAGTGGGCTAAGGCTTTCTTGGATTCTGCGAAGGCTATTGATGATCTTAGCAAGTCTGGTGGGGTTCCACCACTGGCGACTGCACTTCGAATTCGGGACTTGCATAAGGATCAAGGCGTTGCTTCGGTTTCTGTTAGTGAGGCTGATCGTGATCCCTATGGTATTATGATTTGGCGTGGTAACTAGCTTTGCTCTTCTGTCTTGCCTTGGCTTTGCGCTTGACATCTAACAATACGAGAAAAAAAGCGCAAAATATAGTCCCAATCAAACATCATAAGACCTTTTTGATCACACACACTAAAGTATTTCAGCTACAGCTAGTATCCAATAAATTTGACTAGACCTGTGACCACACTTGGACTAGAGCTATGCAGTATGAGGAAGTCTGACAAGATGTCAAGAAAGTGGTTTGAAATGAGAAGGATATCCTAATGGCAGACAATGGCAGAAACAAAAAAAAAAATTTGTCGTGAGAAAATACCAGACAAGATGAAGGACCCAGGTCAAACCTCGAAGGAATGTAGGCTATCGAGGACATGAAAATGAAGGCTTGGGGTTTTAGCCTTCCCTTCACGGCATCAACAAACCCACAGTTCACGGATGTAGGAAGATAGTGGCGAGTATCGGGTAGCTATAGGGATAGAAATGAAGGAAACAAAAAATAACGAGACCGGGTAAAAACCAGACGACCAAGCCCCCGAATGACTGAACGAGAAACAGAAAGGAAAGAAAAAAGAGATAGATGGTATCCGCGTGAGTGGCCTTAGCGAAATCAGGAATGCATCAATAAAGAAGAGCCTCACGAAACAGTGACTACAGATCAATCAGGCTACCACCGCGCCGCTGCTGCTGCTGTCCTCCCCAAGGGTTGTTGGTAGGTTGCTGCTGTTGCTGCTGCACATAGCCGGTCTGTTGCGGCATGCCTGTGAATTGTTGGCCGAAGAATGGGTTTCCGGTGGGAGCAGCGTGTAGGCGGTCCAAACCCTGACCAGCAGAATTGACAAATGTGCCAGGTGCTGTGTGTTGTGCGGGGATTCGGAGATCTCCAACATTGCCGAAGGTATCCTGGCCTTCGCCTGACCCGAGAAGGGCGTTGAGACGAGCATGGTGAGGGTCCTGTGGCGGGGTACTCTTTGGTGGCTGTGGGGCTTGGAAGCCAGCGATCGGGTTGGGCTGAGTGGGTTGGGCGAACAGCGAGCTTTGGCCATACTGCGCGTTGTTCTGGGCATACTGATTCGTTGCACGGTCCTCCGATAAGGAATTAAGTGTTGGTGGGCCTGTTTGTGCATGGTTGTTGAACTGTGTTTGAGTACGCTGAGCGAAGGGGTTATTTGATCCTGTTGGCATGGGCTTGAGGGCATCAGCGGGCTGCAAATGCTGCTGCTGAGGCTGGTTTCCGGCCCATGGGTTGTTGCTTCCTGCGTTTTGATAGTTCTCCTGGGGCTGCTGCTGCTGCTGTTGCTGTTGCTGCTGTTGCGAGAAGACATCCCCGCCATAGGGGTTGTTGGGGTTGAATGCGGTGTGCTGGGGTTGGAGAGTGGCCTGGGGTTGCAAAAGGTTGTTCTGTTGCTGGCCGTAAGGGTTCTGATCAAAGCCCGAGGGCTGCGCTTGATAGCCGTTGGCGTAAGGGTTATTCATGCCGGTGGGCTGGTTCTGGAATCCTGTCGGCTGCGCGTACTGGTTGTTCAGGTAGCCAGTTGTCATAGGCTGCTGCGCATTGATCGGGTTGCCGAACCAGTCCACAGCACCTTGCTGTTGGTAGCCCTGGTTGTAGCCGGTTGGCTGAACTTGAGCTGGGGTGTCGTCGAAGAGAGACTGGGCATTGCTCTCTTCCAATTCGCGCTTTCGGAGGTCCTCTTCCTCCCTGCTAAGCTTAATGGCCTTGGCAAGATCCTCATCGTCCTGGGTTGCCATTGTCTCCTTGGCTCGTCGCTTGCGCTCATCCTCAGCTTCTGCCTTGCTGGCTTCAATAGCTAAGCGGTATTCAGTGTCGGAATCATCATCCCCGTTGCGTCGGCGTCGGTCTTTGCGCGGTGGTTCCACGGGGGAGTTTCCGTAGCCTTCATCGAGTCCGCTCACGCGAGTCTTCCAGAGTTTGCGGTCTGAGCGTTCACTGCGCAAGCGATCTTCATCCAGTACCAATGCAGTCAATTCCTTTGCTGCCACCCGAACTACAGAACAACCTGTCAATTTTGCAACCACTTCGGATTTTCAAGGAACAACTTACCGTTCTGGCCAACATCCCTTCCTTCCTCGTCCACATATGTGAACTCGCGCAAAGTCTTGATAATATAGACGTTTTTACGGGCCCACGTTACCACCAACTCCGAGCCTTCGTGGAGACAGTAGTCCAAGACCTTCAGTGACTTCAGCACGTGGCGCCAGTTCTTGCCCTTATCGTTGAGTCGCTTGTCAAGCATATCCATGATCTCGTAGAACTCGTTCGGACTATTATGCAAATGACGTTAGCGGCGCCCACACGGTAGGTCGCAGCCTCAACTCACCTCCCGAAAGTCATGGCGGCAATCTCGGACATGTCGGTGCCCGTAGGGCCCCAGGGGTCATTACTAGTAGCTGAAAAAGTAAGTTAGCAACTTGGTTACAATCTATGCGGGGTGCATGGGCGCAAGCAAGCAACCCCCGGGAAAAGACAGGGGCAATAAGCCGGGGCGACAGCATTTCTTGCGCCCGCAACTCGATAATCGCCGAGAAGTTCGATGTAGTGAAATCGGCTCGTACCATTTCGGACCTTGACCTGCACTGAGGAATATCCTTTTGTGACGTTCTTCACACTCCGCACGACTTTAGACATGGTGGCGGTGATGCGACGGTAGTGTTAATGTAAATGAATCGCAATCGGAAATCGATGCGAAGGATTGTAGAAGAGAGTATTAGACTGCCAAGCACGCACTGCCCTCTGTCTCCGTGTCACGGCCCAAGATGGTCAAGTAACTCTGAAATGGACAGGTTGGCAGGTGGGGTCTAAAGGAGTTGAGGGAATTGGGCTTTAAATTGCCTGGAAAGGAAATATTGGTAAATAGTAATCGACAATCAATGGATGGAAAGGTGAAAAGTGAAAGAGAGGAGAGGGGATGGCTCGAACGGGGGGAATGAGAGGGCTTGGCAGTGACGAAGCAGTTTAGACCAAACTTTTTATACTGGCAACTGTTTTAAAGATCTACACTTGGAAATCTCTTAAGATTTGGAGAATTTTTTTTTATTATCACAAAAATCTGCCAGATCACTTCGATGGTCTACCATGTACTCCGTATAATATACAGTGCATGTCCAAGTACCGTTACGCCCTCGTGGCCGGAGGTCCGGTCTAATCACCGCGAGATTACTTTTTTTTTTCCTTTTCTCCTTTTTTTCCCCTATATATAGCCTAAAGCAAGCAATTCACTATTTGGAATCTACATATTGTTTTTTTATTTGACCTTGAATCAAAGCCAATTCCAATTGTTGGGTATCCAAGTTAAAAACATTAGCATGTTTCCTGCCACATGTGGCGGCTTTCGGCCGCGTAATAACCTTGGTCATGGTCAGGCAACAGTCAATTGGTTATGGAAATTTATATACTACCTCGGTAGTATATATAGTATATACTCCGTATTCATATCACATTGAAGTAGGAATCAGGCTACGTCATTTACTCTTCTAGAATGCAATGACACTCTTGGCACTCCGATCGTAGGTCCACATTGGTGTTGACATCGAAGTCTTACATCCATTTTTCCTACTCACTTCGAATTTGTCTTTGATCTAACACATACACCCCTTGATGATAATTATATTACTGAATTAGGTATTGAGTGAGCCATGCTCAGTACTTGATATGTGTAGGTGACCATTGAATGATCCATACAAGAGAGTACATATCTATAGCAGGATTAATTACAACACGAGTTCTCTAAAATATTATACTCTCAGCAAAACGTACCTTCCCTGTTACTGTCACATCACTCTTTCCTGTTCAGCATTTGTTTACATTGGTTCCTCTAGACAATCGCCCTTTGCCTAGTTCTCAAACATCCATAGGGAGACATGGTGCGGAATAATTAGCAACATATTAATTGTAGAAATGAAACACTGGAAGGTTGTTATTCAAGAATATCAAGCGATCCCATCAGACAATGTGTCAGCAATACTTCCAATAAATCCTTTATTCTGCATCCCGGCCACCCATTCACTAGGAATAGAGTCAAACCCATAGAACGAACCCGCAAGACCTCCATAAACAGCCCCCGCAGTATCTGAGTCACCACCCAGATTGACAACTGCCAAAGCCCCATCCTTCCAGGTTTCATACTTGAAGAATGCCCACATGGCACATTCAAGTGTATCAACAACCCATCCACTACTAGTCATATCGCCAGGCGCCTTGATTTTCCAGTCGCTGATTGTTCTGTACCTGTACAATGACATGCGCTCCTTCAGAGCAGGGTGAGTAAATGGAAACACAGAGAGCGCATGGAAGAGCTGCTTCTTTGTTTGGCCTAAAAGGAGTCAGTGGCAAGTCTGGAAAGAAAAATCAAAACCAACCATTCATAACCTTGCACACCAATTCCGTATACACTTCACAGGCTTCCACACACGCGAGCGAAGGATGTGTGATCTGGCTATGTCTTCTGGCGACTTCCCGAGCCAATGTAGAATCGTGCCAGTAGACAACCCCAATCGGGACGATCCTCATCAAGCTCCCATTCCCAGAGAACTCCTCGTAATTCAATCTATCAATTACCATCGCCTGGGCAAGTTCGAAATCACCTTCCTCTATGCCATACTTAATCCACTGCCTCAGGGAGGTACGAGTGGAGCGTCCTACATCCCATGAGTGATTGACAGTGCTGAAATGGCCGTTGGTCAGCCACTCGACAAAGTATTGGATTGACAGTGTATGGTTGTATTGCATATCGGATTTAGAGAAGGAGCATGCCAAGGCTAGAGTCATAGATCCGTCGTCGGAATAGGATCTTGTTCATGTTAGTTACAGGTACTCCGAATAGATGACTGTGACGGAAACTCACCCAGCTGGTTGATCAAAGGGCGCTACATATCTCAAGGTTGTGATCGGCTCAAAGGTTCCTGCGTCTCGGAATTGTACGGGGCCACCGAGGGCATCGGCTACGCAGACGCCCCAGATAGCGCCTTTGGCACGAGATTCCAAGGATGGAGACATGTGGCGCTGATGATGTTGATTTGTTATTGTTTCGAGGTGGTTTCGTCTGATTTAAACGAAAGATCTCGGAAGTGACTCAAAAGACGAAAGAGCCTTGGGAAGTCAGAAACCTACAAATAGTAATATTTCAAGGTTGAGTCACCAGCACTAAATGGGACAATAATATTTGAAACTTAAATGCGACATACTAGCGCAAAGGGTACTAAGTCTCACACTAGGCATCCACAGCCCCAACTCTGGGGCTGTGGCCTGAACACCACTCTAAGTCTGTCCACAGCTGATGATCTTCCGCTAGTGTAAGTGCCCAAGACTGCCCATGTCCTTGGAAGGATCACTCATGCACATCCCAGCTGTGGTCTAGTGATAATTTATTTCCGAAGTATTCAATTTCCTAAACACCTACTTATGACGAGGCCAGACAACATATTTCGCAGGCTGCCCATTAGTCTCCTTGGCCAAATCCTCTACAGTTTTCCACTTCCACAGCTGCTGACCAGGGTTAACAAGATCGTTATCATCCCCAAGAAAATCAGGAGTATGAGCAATACCCCCGTCACCCATCAAGAACCACAGATAGGCAACCGGACGCCATGAAGGCTCAGCAATAGTCTCTGCCTTATATTTGTCGTACGGGAGGCAGTCAATATCAATGTGTCCCGCACCGGCAGACTCCATAATCCCCGCAATCTCCGCAATCGAGCGCGAATCACCGCCAACATGAACAACATCAGGAATCTTTTCTGCCGGCATAGTCGCCAATGAAGCAACGGTCCTGCCGACATCCGCAAGCGAGGTAAAAGACACCGGCGTGCGGAATGACCCCACACTAGTATACTTCCCTTTCTGGGTGTCGAGACCGAACCACGGCCCGATACTATCTTCTAGAATCAGGCCGCAGAATACGCGACAGACCTTCATGTGCGTGACGACTGCTTGCGCCTTTGCAAAGTGCTTCTTCTTCTCCTGCCACTCCAAGTGGGCGAAGTCGTGATTGCAGTGGTCGACGCCGAACTCGGAGGGGAAGTAGACTCGGATGTCGGTTTGAGCAAGGGCGGATGCGATCTTTGTTTTGAAGTCGTGCCCTGCGGGCCCGACTGTATTTACCAGTATTTGTATGCCCTGTAGGGCTTCTTCGAGGTTGTGTTCGTTGTAGCGGCGGGCTGTGAGTTTTACGCCGGACTGGGAGGAGGAGGGTTGGAAGAGACATGATTCGTTTCTTGAGAGGAGGATTATCTCGGAGAACTTGTCTTGGAAGGTGGAGGAGAGGAAGGCTGCTGTGAAGTGCTTGCCTAGATGTCCGGTGGCTCCGGCAATGGCGACAACTGGTCGTGTTATGGATTTCATCTATGCGATTACCAAAAGAAGAGGTTGTCTAGAATAAAAGGATGAGAGGTGAAGTTGGGGGTGAGTCTCAGCTTTATATATACAATGCTGTACCCTACTTCACCAGGTCTATCTTCTTTGCGTCATTGGCCGAGCAACCATCCCGAGGTCCGGACCAACAGCCCTAATTGGCTCACAGTGGTTTATTTTGGATACAAAACAAGGCAGTGTCCAATTAGATCAAATAGGATACAGATCTTCTATGTTGTGCAGCATAGAGGTGTTTGCATCGGCGGCCCAGGCTTGATTCAGCTCTCATATAAGGAGAACAACACAGTGAGTACCAGTCTATTATCAGAATGGTATGGGCACAGATTATGCTATATTGTTTCGTGAGATTTCTCTCTTATATCACGTAAATCCGAAATCCAAAACTGATTAGTTCTGGCTGAGAATGATCTTCGTCCCCCTGGGGTCGCATCAAAACACCAGAACCCCTTGTGTGACCCGCGGGCCCGACGCTTCTGCTAAAAAAAACATAACTAGTTTGCTTGTGCTTTTATTCCTAAATCCAAGTCCACGCATTACTTCTCCAGGCTTAGGTATTTCTCCTCGGCGCCCTTGATGCACGCAATGTTGGCGCCAAGCTTGTTGATCGTCTCAATGTACTCATCATAGGGGTCTGAGTCGAAGACAATACCACCACCAGCCTGGAGGTACGCGACGCCGTCCTTGACCATCATAGTGCGCAGTGCAATGCATGTGTCCATCGCACCGGGCATCTCGGCCGAGCCATCTGCGTTGGCGCTGTTATATCCGAAGTATCCTACGGCGCCTGCGTAGACACCACGCTTTTCACCCTCCAGCTCGGCGATGAGCTGCATGGCGCGCACCTTGGGTGCACCGGAGACTGTGCCAGCAGGGAAGATAGACCGGAATGCATCGAAGCGGGTCATGCCTGGCCGCAACTCTCCCGAGACTTGGGAGACCAGATGCTGGACGTGTGAGAACTTCTCCACAACCATCAGTCGGTCGACCTGTGTTGTGGTGGGATCGCAGACCCGGTTCACGTCGTTGCGAGCAAGATCGACCAACATGACGTGCTCGGCGCGGTCCTTAAGACTGCTGCGGAGCTCATCGGCGAGGGCGGCATCCTCCTCCGGGGTCTTGCCGCGCTTCACTGTGCCTGCAATGGGGTGGCTGATGATACGGCCCCCCTCTTCCTTTACCAGGAGCTCGGGACTGGCTCCGACAAGCTGGAAGTCTCGACAGTCGATATAGAACAGATAAGGAGAAGGGTTGACGGTGCGAAGGTGGCGGAAGAGGTTGTACGGGTGGAGAGAGGTGGGTCGTGATAGCCGCTGTGACGGCACGGTCTGGAAAATATCGCCCTTGGCGATGTGCTGCTTCAATCGCTTGACGTGGCCTTCATATCCCTCCTGCCCGATGTTAGATGTATACTCCTGGTTCGGAATGATCGGGCCCTGAGGTGGAAGTGGTGTGCGGTCTTGGAGTAGCGTATCGATCGTCTTCTGGATGATGGACTGGCCCTTGAGGTATGAGGCCTCGATATCGGCATCCGCCGAGGGAATGGGAACGTAGGTGATGACCTTGACGACTTGGAAGAAATGATCGAATGCAATGATGGTGTCATAAAGCATAAAGAATGACTCGGGCACTCCAAGGACGTCCTTCATCGGCCGCGCGGTCTTGGGCTCAAAGTATCTAACACAGTCATATCCAACATATCCGATCGCTCCGGCGGTCAACGGCGGGAGGACCAATTCAGGTACTGTCGCGACGCGGAACTGAGAAAGCTCAGCCTCGAGATATGGGAGGGGATCCGCTGCTGGGCCATGGCCCTCGCCGGTCTTGATGACCTTTCTGGGGTCTGCATGGGAGGATGGAGTAAGCAATGGAACCAGACCAAAGACTCCCGGTATCACCCACCTGCGCCAACAAAGCTGTATCGCCCAATAGTCTCTGTGGTAGCAGCACTTTCATACAAAAATGACAAACGCGAGCTATCCCTGCGAGTCAGCGATCTTGTCCAGCATTCCATGCCCCGCGCTATCGCCAATGTTGAAAAGAGCCCAATGACTCACTTCTCTGCAATCTTCAAGTATGCCAATGTTGGGGTTAAGAGGTCGGCAGCGATCGATGCCGTAACAGGAAGTAGGTTGGGAGGGAACTCAGAGTTCCTCGACTTTGAGATCACTTCTCGCGCCGTCTCAAGGGACGGGATGCTGGCGACCTGAGTCATTGGTCAACAAGCGTAAACAAAATCCCAACGGGGGTGTCGAAGAGTGGAGAAATACAGTAACAAGACAAATGCGTACTTACAGGAGTTGCCATTTTGTTATAAGTGGCTGATATCGACGATGCTAGTCAAGGGAAAGGATTGAATTGGCGGTGGAAAATGATTCACTGTGGGGGGGGTTTTGTATCGACGGGTCCAGGAATGCGCCCAGCCTGCACTGTTTCGTTTGAGGTTTGACAAGATGACACAATTACAATATAAAATTTAAGGCTCTTTATAGATTTAAAGCGAATCCGAACAAAGCTTACATGCTTGTCTCACAGGTGTGTCCATGTGGCCTTGATTATATGCATCCAAAAGTGGACTAGCGTCGAGGGGTATATTATCGATAAAGCGACTATAGATATAACTCCAGGGCTATATTGTACACAGGACTTCCTTTGAAAATTGGGGTATTTTCTTGACTATCATACACTAAAAGTGAGTTTCGAAATCACAGATCCCACCTGGAATGGGTGAAGGGAAAAAAAAAAGGCAAAAAAAGTCCACCGTCGCCAGTCCATGTCATTCGCCGTGCCCACCCAAACCTGTCCCAAGCAATGCATGCCATTATGCATTTTCTAAAGAAAAATGTATGTTCACAGAAAGTAATAAATAAGGGGAAAAAATTCAGAGAAACCATGAAGGGTGATATGTCTTCGAGGGAAAGAGATTGAAAAGGCTTTTCAAGCGGGATTGACAGATTAGTTTAAGCTGGGCATGAGTCGTGAGTTTTTAAGTGGCTCCAGGGCTGTTTCAAATCCGCTCTGTCATCGTTGCAAATTGATGATTGCCATCTTGGGAAATTGGACCGTCAGCATGGGGGACATTGACACAAGTAATCTAGATCAGGGAGCGTACCTGTTTGTTGAAGCCATAGGCAAGTCGTTTTCCATCTGCATCCCAGGAAAGGGCCCGATGGGGATCTGGGTATGAATGACCATTCTGTCCATGGTGTCCATTATGTCCGTTGGTTATGCGGTCGGCTTCTTCTTTCTTCACCTCGGGGCTAGTTGCAGTCCAGGTAGACATAAGATTACCACCAGGGTGTTCAACGTTCCAGATAAAGATCCCGTCCTTGCTAGCTGCACCGAGAGCATATCCATCGGGGGAGAAAGATCCGGTAATAGCGGGGTTTGAGTCTAGGCTCAGCTGATGAACGTTTGTGTAATCCTTTATATCGAGGTTGACTTGCCAAACCTTGACCTTACCATCCGCCGAGAAAGAGGCAAATTCAATACGATGGGGATCAAATTGAGGACTGATATCAATGCCGGTGATTCTGTCCTTGTGGGCGTTGGAGATAAGAATGTCATGAGTGGGGATCCAAATCGAAGCGCTCAGTCCAGAAGCCACGATAGCGACTGAATGGAACTCGGTTTGGACACAGCGAATAAACTCCCAGGTTGCGTTATCTCTGGGAGAAGGGAAGGTCTTAATCAAACGGATGCTGTTGTCCACTTCGCATTGATAGACTGCACCATCACCAGAAGCGAATACCAGGTTGCGTCCACACCACGCGAGATCATAGATATGGTTCTCAATTATTTGAGGTGGAGGGAAAACATCTGGTCGGCGGCTGTCGTCCCAAAGCGCGAGTTCCGATACGTTATGATTCGAGGCTACAACGACCAGTTGCGAGCTACCGGATGCCCAATGCAAGCCAGTGATGAGCCGGGGTACCTCGGGTAGTAAATCCACTGCATCTCCATTGACGTTGTACATGGTGATAGTGCCCCTGTCATCAGTACAAGTCGCGACGGCCAATTTCTCACCAATGGCATCCCAGGCTACGGTTGAGACAGTTGTGTCACCCTTCTTGAGCTCAAGGATTTTCTTCTGCACAGGTTCTGATGACATTGACAGCTTCCATAAGCTGCAAAAGAGGTCACCAGCTCCCACAACCACAGTGGGATCTCGAGGGCGCCACACGGCGTGGGTCACGTGATGATCCGGATTCAGCAGGGCGGTGTCGGGGGTCAAATCGATGGGCTTGGCGGGGGCGATCTGGACGCGAGAGCTCTCGCCGTTTTCCATAGTGGGTAGTTCAGGGATCTCCTCGGCCATGCTGACATCACCATCTTCATCCATATGATCAGTATCTGGCTGACTTTCAGTTTGCGCCTTGTCTTCCATGGATTCATCGCTATCAGTTTCGTCCTTTCGGGTGTCCTTTCCGGGCTCGGCATGGCCGTTCACCGGGCGGTCGCGCGCAAGTTGACCCGGCGAATCTGGGTCTGTGCCGACAGCCTCATCGCGACTTTCCACCGATCCAGTTTTAGTTCCAATTTCAAAGGGCTCTGGTCCGAAAAAATAATCAGACGGTGAAATACTTTTCTGATTGCCCTCCTATACATTGCGATTAGTTTGATTTCAAATTGAGGAACCCAAATGGAAAGTAAAATTTTCCCTTTGGCGCGTAAGAACCATTTAGAATGAAACACATACCTTGTCCAGCGAGGATTCCATCTCGTGGTATTGCAGGCCCTTCTGGACCAGCGACACCAGCGCATGGGTTTTAATGTAAGGCGCAAACGGGAGAGTCTGCGGATCAGGGAACCACGCGCGCTGCAAAGAGACGGCGGCATCGCCATGACCTAGGTTGAGTTAGAGGTCAAATTGGGGAAAGTCAAGGGGGCAACGTGACCAACCTGATTCTTGAAGGTACCTAGAAGAATATTAGTTCTGTAGCAGATGCATGGGTTGCATTGCACTTACCTCCATATTAAATAGTTGACATGATGCGACGTGAGGTCAGGTTGTGCCATGATTACATGTGCGACCAGCTAAGGGCCGCGGACATGCCAGAGAGGGAAGAGCTGTCTTGCCGATGAAAACCAAAGTGGAGGCTTCGATGCGCGGAGACGGAGCTTCAGGAACACGGAACACGAGGCCGGAAGGAAGTTGGGACTTCCGGATAAATAGAAAAGGGGGATACTGGTATTTTCCGCAAAGAATTTAAGACCTTTGAGACTTGAAGATCGAAGAGAAAGCCAAGACAAGGGAGAAATTGGAGCTTTGGGGGGGAAAAGAGAGTGAGAGAGTGGAGATAAGAAGAGGTGGGATTCAAGATCAAGAAGAATAGAAGCTATTCAGTGATCTTATAGAAATAGAAACCAAGTATTCAAGGATAGAGAAGAGAGAAAGAGAGAGGGAGTGAAATGAAGATCTGAGATTAAAGGATCCAGAATGTTTGGCAGAAGTCCATTTAGCACACACTAGCCACTTGGATCCTCCCTGTGGCGTTGGGGGTCCTCCACACTTGTCGAACTTCTGGTCATTTTTTTCTATTTTTCTACGTATAACATTGGAGTGTCAAAGCAATTACTCTAGTGAAATATCAAGCATTGATACTCTACCTTTAAAACCCTTATGACTTCTCAAATCCCTATTAGGCGCCTAAAATTGGGGTTCTCCACACATCGGGGGATTTCAGCACGAGCACCCTTGCTTTCAATCTTCCAAGTTACCGGAGTGCTTATTCTGTGTCACGACTTACAACTTACACTTACAATAATGTCTACTTGCAGGGGTTCTGCCTTTCGGACATCATATACCAATGACTTGAACTGCATCTACCCGAAGCTGCAGGTCAATCGATGGTGGATCGTGGCTAATGATGCCGCCTACCTGACATTGGCGCAAGAAGTACGGGGTACTCTTTACTTTTTGACTTCTTTACCTATGAACTTCTATTGGACATACTTTGGTGAGTTCCTTTCACCTCTAGCTATGTTATATGGAGACCTCCTATTACGGAGTGTCTGATAGGTGGCTAGGTACTCCGTATGATGTTGGATGTTGGATGTTTGATGCTAAGTCCCTGATTATTTGATTATTTCTAGATACAAATCCCCAATAACCACCACCATATGTCGTGTGCTATTATTCCTAGAATCTTGTCACTCCCTCAATCTAATCCTATATTCAAATCATATTCCATAGTAGAACTGAAAACAAGAACAAAAAAAAGAAAACAAAAATGACAACTGTATGCACTAATTAATTAGCAAGGAAGATGAGATAATGACATGAAATATAAGTTCCCCATAACCAAAAGCTAGGATGTATGTATGATGTAGATTGTTTGAAGCATCTCGGAGCCAAAACATGGCTGATACTTCCGTCCTCGGGCCTCCGCTACTCTCCCACCTCAACTTTCTCCCTTTGTCGACGACCTGTGGTCAGCGTCTTGCAAGAGCTCCAAGCGAGCTCCAACATGTCGCTCCGAATCAGCATTCCTCCTGCTACTCGAATCTGTCTCGTCAGCCTCCTCACCCTCTCCCTACTCTACAATATTGCCAGATGGCGACAGATTGACACCACCGGCGGAACCCCGATCACATCTCCTCTCGTCCCCTACTTGACCCTTGTCCCCTCATTCTTCTACTACTATCCCTGGACAATTGTCACAGCGACCTTCGTCGAGCAAAATATATTCACTGTCCTCTTAAACGCTGCCACCGTATTCTATGGCGGCAAATACCTCGAACGCGCGTGGGGCTCGCGCGAGTTCAGCAAGTTCATCGCGGTCGTCGCCGTGATTCCCTGCGTCGCTATCATCCCAATCTACCTGATCTGGGGAGCAGTCGGAGGCTCCTCAAGTAGAACGTACGCATCGCCCCTCTACCTCCCTTCTTCCCAACACAAGCAACCGGATTACCACCCTATACCAAACACTAACCATCTCAAACAAACAGCCTCACCCAAATCTGCGGCGGCGTCTCCATCCAAGCTTCCTTCCTAGTCGCCTTCAAACAGCTCGTCCCAGAACACACCGTGACAATCTTCAAAGGAATAATCAAGATGCGCGTGAAACATTTCCCTGCCCTCTTCCTCCTCCTAAACAGCATCAGCGGGCTCGCCATCGGAACAGACACCGCCGCAATCCTATCGTGGCTTGGGATCCTCACCAGCTGGACCTACCTCCGTTTCTACAAGCGGCAACCCGACCTAACCGGCACCTCGAGCGGCACAGGCATCAAAGGCGATGCCAGCGAGACGTTCGCATTCGCCTGTCTATTCCCCGACGTGATGCAGCCACCTGTCGCGTTCGTTGCGGATCAGATCTACGCTCTGCTGGTCGCAGCTAAGGTCCTGACGCCGTTCTCAGAGGACGATATCGCCTCCGGTAACGAGCTGGTGCTGGCGAGAGGCGAGGCGGGCTTGCCCACGCTGTTGAATAGCCAGCGTGGATCCAGGGGCGCTGCTAAGCGCGAGGAGGCGGAGCGCAGACGCGCTATTGCGCTCAAGGCTTTGGATCGCAGATTGCAGGCTGCTACTGCTGGGCGCGGGCAGGCTCATTTGCCTGGATTGGGGGAGCCTAGCTCGTCGATGGTGCGTCCTGCTACGCCGACTCAGGCTCCGCCTGTTGGTCAGGGCATGCTTGGGGAAACGAGTTACAATCCTGATCATGCATGAGTGTCGTCGGGTGCTTCTTTTATCTAACTCTGGCGTTTGTGACGCACTTTGGGATTTGGCCTTTTGGACATATTCGCATTCGTGGCATGGCTGGTTTGTGGCATGGGATTTTTTATACTGATAGTTATACGGATAGTGTGTGCACTTCTGATGATGTACATGATTTGTTCGACTTGTCTTGGAGTTTTGATCTCCCGATTTAGTTATTAGGCTGATATTTTAGCGCCTGTGTGATTGCTGGGCCTTTTGGCCTTGAATTCGATTTGTTTTATACCACACAGAGCTTGTATGTCGAGTACCTTTTGAAAAAAACAATTTCACTCCATTAATCTGTAACTTTGATCATAATTTTAATGGGGTATGCACTTTGTTTTATTTATCATGTTGACCCTAACCCAGCTATTCGCCTTCGGCATCCATCTCCATCTCAGCCTCCTCTTCGTCTAGCAATGGCACAAATCGGAAGTCCACAAAGCACACAGGTCCATTGGGACCCTTTACGCCAGCGCCAATCGATCTACCCACTGGCACATTATGATCATCAAGCTCAACCATGAACTGTAAGCTCAACACCCCCTGCCGATCCCCACGGATACTAACCTTATTAGCGACAGACATGGCTCTCGCAGCCTTGCGAATCAACGCAAATCGATAACTCTGTTGAATCCGATCACCCATAGAGGAAGGAGGAGAAACAAGGAAAGTCTCCGTGACCGTAGGCGCAAGCTTAGCTCTAGTTGCGCGAGCTCGGGAAGAGCCATCATCGAACAACACCTTATGCATCTGAGATTGGGTAGTGCCATGGCCAGCACCACCGGCGATCTCGTTGTGCTGGTCAACCGAAAACTCCACAGTGGACTCACTGAACGGCCCGCCCGCACCGGAGAGAGCAAAGTACGGTTCTCGCTTGGCGCAGGCGGACAGTTTCAGGATTGTGGGGGTGGAGGAGTCGAGCTCGGCGATGGCATTGTGCAGCCAGGCGGATCGCATGATGATTTTCATGATTATGGCGTCGCGCTGGAGGGGAATGTCTGCCTCGTCAGCGTCGGGCTCATAGGTTACTAGTTCGCAGGTTGTTTTCACACCAGCTTCGCTGATGGTGATGCTAAGCGGGGCGCCGTGTTGGGCGTATTGGAGGGTGCAGGATCGGTCCATGAGCAGGGCTGGAGCATTGAATGCGCTTGACGAGGCGATGCCGGTTTGCGTGATGCTAGTGTCGCGGGGTCGATTGGACTCGGAGAGCTCGTTAATGCCGAAGATCTTTAGGGTTTCGAGAATGGCGGAGAGGGAAACGACAAAGTGAGGGAAAGCCCCATTTTGTGAGGATTCGTTGTCGTCTTGGGGTGTTTCGTTCTGGTCGGTCGATGGATTGAATGTGTAGCTGGTGAAGAGCGACTTATCGAGGAAAGCTAGTCCTTGGATGACGCGGCCTTCCTCCACTGAGAATCGGAGGCCATCTGGGGTGATTTGAACGGTGGCCTTGTGTGCGAAACCAATGCAAGAGAGCAGTGTGTAGAGATGGTGAGCGTTGTTGGAGACGCCAGCGAAAAGGGGCTCCATTTTATGACGTAGGCTGCTAGTTCGAACTTTTCAGGCGCGATACTGGCACAGAGCAAGATAATGAGTCCGAATATGCGTGATGGCTTTGGGTATTCTAGCAATAAAGTCCCCTTTGAACCCAACGCTTATGGTACATTTGAGGGGATGCGCAATAGGAAAGGTGGCCGGTTAGACGTAGACTCCGGCGGCGCAGATCATAAACACAGCTCCAAAGCTATCCAAAATACCCAATCAGTATATTGTACGTCAGAATATGGGACGCCGCGTATTACTAACCCAAATGCGAGTGCGGCCGGGAAACCCAAGGATGCGATGCCGAGGAAAGATTGATCTGTTTAAGAAAATGTCAGAGTCCAATTTAATTTTGTAAAATTTGGAATGTGACTTACTCAAGCCAAAGAGAGTGGCGGTAACCAATGCTAGCAGTATTAGTTAGAGATTGGCTACTTTAAAAGCTATAGACCAAGAAGCTTACCGAGGAGGAGCAAGTTGAAGCCGACGGAGAACTGGCTGTCCTTGCCAATGAGAGGAGTAAATGGAGTTGCAGAGGCTGCCTCCCAGACTTCGTTCAGAGACATTAGGATAGAATTTGATAAATGTAATTGAGAGACAATTGATGCAGGTTAAAGATGTCAAAGTGATATAGATCGACAGTGTTGATCTGGCCCGACCGGTAGTTAGTTGTTCCGACCGATACCCCATGTCATGTCGGCGCAAGGTCAAGTTTGAAGGTCAAGGACATCATGGTTGACTCGCCAAAAAGTAAGTAAATTCTTATAACTTTTTG